AATATCTTAAAAAAATTGATGCAATAGAAAATTGACATTATTGTAAAATCTATCTTTAAAACAACCAATATTACTTCAATTTTTTTGTTCTACTAAATTTTATCTTTTTAAGTCAAATATATAATTAGAGGTATAATTTAAAAAATAATCTTAATAAAAATTTAATTGAAATTCATAAATTTTAAAAATATTGAAATTATTTTATTATTTTTGAAATCTTTTAATCAATAATAGTCCAAACTTTCTTAAGATCCATTATAAGATCATCATTTGAAATAATATATCTAAAATATTTAATTTAAATTGTATAATTTTATTTTTTATTTTTTTAACTTTACATGTAGTTATCCATCTTTAAATTTTTGTAACCCACAAAAAATACAAAATTCATGCTTTTATTTGTTTTTAGAGTAATTTAAAATATTGTCTAGATAATAGACATTAAAATCATCTAAATTTTTTTAAAAATATCATTTACTAGATGTTGAAAAATAATTGGTACATTTGTGAATTCAAAAGGTATGACATTATATTTAAAATATTTATATTTAATTTAAAATATTTTTTAAAAATTAAATAATATGTTATATATTTTTCATTAATCTATTTAGATATAGATTTTTTTTTTATTCAATTGATCAAAAAGTCTTATAGAGGACACCTATTCTTCATGGTGATTTTATTGAGCCTTAATATTCCACATACATCTATAAGGATTTGTTTTTTTTCTTCACAGATAAGTTAAGAACTTATACTAGAGATTTTAAATTGCATATGAAGTTTTTTGCTAAGTTTTTATTAATATATTCCTTAAATATAGCCAACTTATTTTGTGATACTCTATAAATTGGTCAAAATAGTAATTGAGCTCTCTTTTGAAGATTAATTAAGTAATTATAAGAATGATACTTTGAAAGAATATCTACATTCTTCATTTTAAAGACGTCTATAAAACCTTTACATTGGCTCAAAATATTATTTGAAGTCTTTCTATCATAAAAAATGGATGTGGTATAAAATTTCTTACATAAAAATTCTTACATCTATTAATAAGAATTTGATTGTACTAGATTTATGAATATTTTTTTAATAATAAAATTCTAAATTATACTAATAAAAAATAAAAAATTCAAGAAATTTTATCTATTTTAAGATTTTATTTTTATAGCCACAATAAACTTAAATTGACTAGGTTGAAAAGAGATCTAATAACATTAAATATTACTAAGCTATTATGACCTTTATTTGTTACATCTATAGAAAAAAAATTATAAATAACATCTTTAGAAAGAACAAATAACTTTTTATAACTTCTACATGCATATGTTCTTATTCTATTTTTTATATTAAAAAATTTTCTTATTGTTTAACAAATTTTTTGTTTATAGAATAAGTTAAAGCTCTTGAATCTTATAATACAAAGGCATTGTACATTTTTAGTTATAAACAAACATCTTTTGTAAAGCAAGGTGATTTAAAAAAAGAATATAATCTTTACTTGGTATTTTACAAGACTCCAATCACACAATGTCTATTATAGTTAGACAAATTTCTTTCTTAACGCATTATTTTTTTTAGAAACCATGATCCTCACGTTGTAATTGCATTGTTTTTTGGATAATACTAAACAATGTCTTTAAGTTCTCTATGGTCCAAACATAATCCTTCGTAACAATATTGAGTCTTTTTTTTTCTTAGTAAGATATTTAAAATAACAAGTTATCATGACAACTCATAAGTGTTTCATACTTGAAAACATATGAATTAAAACTATAATAGCTTTTGCCAAAGACAAAAAGACTAAAGATTCTTGAAATAAGACTAAAAACAAGAAAGATAATGATAAAAATAAAAAATGAAAATCACACTCTTGCCTCTATATATATTATCTACCTAAGAACTACATGACAATGTTTTATATTACCTCCAACACATGTCCAACTTACGAAATATTTGTCTTACTTATAAGACAAGTTTCTTATATATATACCACATGGCCGACTTATTCCTTAAGTGGCCAACATATACAACATGTAGCAAACTTGTTGGCCAAATTTTCAATCACCTATAGACATGTATAAAGTCAAATATTCATCTATAAAGCTTATAAGAAGCTTGTCCATAAGATATTTTATAATTTATTTACTTTTACTTATTTATAAATATTTTTTTTATTCAGATAATTATGAATGTTGATTATATCTATAATAAAATCCTAAATTTTATATACTTTTATAATATTTATTATTTAATATTATGAATAATCTACTATATAAGTAATTGATAAATGTGTTATAGTTTTGAAGATTTAAAATTAAGATCCTATCATATATAGTAATATGTGTATTTATAGTTGATATTACTCAAGTTTTTTTTAATTAATAATTTAAATAGTTTATAGAACATAAAAAGCTTTTAATATCTTAGGATATTAATAAATGGATAAACTTTGTATTATATTAAACAAACTTAGAACTACCTTCAAGTAGAATCAATCTTTTAAATCTAAAACATCCTTCATTTTACCAATATAAATATGACTATAGTCACTATTTTAGAAATTATTATCTATATAAAAATTATAATTTTTTAAATAGATTGTTTCAATATTAAACATTTATTATTTGTATGCTATGTTACAACTGAATAAGATAAAAAATTTTAAATCCATTCTAATTTGTGAATAGAATAGATTTCTATGAGGAATCTACAAAACACCCTCTTTTTATACTAGTTCACCAAGTGTCATGCCTTATTTATAAATATTTGGTCTACATATCTTCTTATTTCAAATAGATAAGACATGATAAGTTTTAAGCTTGTATCTAAGATAGATGGCTTTGTGGATAAGTGAACCTTATAGAATTTCATCCAATTCAAAAATTTGGATTTGTCTACTTCCTTTATTATCACCAAGAACCATCTGTCCACAAATAAATGATGAGTGAAGGTGAAATACTTTGACTTAATATGTATATATAAATAAGTATAACCTAAGTGTAAAATAAAATAAATTGTTAGCACCTAGAATCAAACTGGAGACTTCATGTACCATAGCCTACTGCTTTTACTTACCTTGACGATTTAAACTACTTGTATGAGAAAGGGTCCACACATCTGCTAGCTCCCAATGAAGCAAAAGCTAAGCTAGGGGACCCTCTGCTTCATGACCTTTTAAATGATCATACACAATGTGACACCCACCCATGCATGCGAAGCCCTATCCTTCGATGCCTCAAGCGTGTGTGCATGTACAATCCGATCCTTCTGGTGTGTCCACTCCGCGATCAACGTAATGCTCCTCCCTGCCGCATTGTTACTCGCTCCCCACCAATGTGTTCAGTAATAGTAACTGAAGCTCTTGATGAGGGACATGGGTCCCCATTAACTTCGTGCAACTGCTGCTCTCACCCCCTGGTTTAGATCGTCAATCACTGCACCGTCCTCGGAGACCAGCCGAATGTTTCAGCTCTACAATCAGCTGTTACCTCCTTGCCTTTCTTCTCTGTTGATGTTCCAGGATTAGTGCGATACCACAACAAAGAGTGTACAAGTGGATGCCAATGCAGCCCGAGAAGTCGTGTCGTGGCAGTGCCAGTTGGAGCAGGCGATGGCAGTGGGCATGTATCTCTCAGGTTATGCCGGCAACTGCAAGCGAAATCACGTGATGACTCTAGACAACGACATTCTATATACTCCGTTTTTTACGTTGTTACATTGCTGACTATAAACTGAAATATTCGGCGCAATTATTATCGTGACTGCTAAGGCATCCTGCGCAGACGAGTGGGGCGTCAGATTAGTTGAAGGTATGGACCTACCACAAGGGGATTCACACCATGGAGCTTGCAGGATGGCCTACAAGTCCTTTCTTGTGCGAGAACTCTGGCGCTGGTGACACAGTTAGATTGTATCATCTGTAGGTCTTTCTGATGTATCTTATGTAGATATAAACAAACAAATGGAAAGGTACTGTGTCAGCAAGCTCGGCTGATTAGTAAATTGTTTTTTATTTGGTGCCGCCCGTCACTACAGTACATGGCTAGTGTATACCAATCCGATCCGGTCTGAGAAAATTCCGTCATTGTCGAATTTTTGTGATCATGGTGTAGACAACAGTTTCAATTCCTTGTTTAATCATATGTCATATTTGGCGAATGAAGATTACATAAGACTTGGCCGGCCTCATATGAATGATTGCGACCAAACCCATGGCTTTGAATCCACATTTTGAAACAAATTGTATATACAAACACATTAATGTAGATTACTAATTATTATTATTTTCAAAATAGGTCTTACTGCGTAACAAGTTTTTTGAAGATGACAATGATAATTAATACATTCATTCGCTTGAATACGTAATCTGGTGCCCTCAATAGAATTAAAGCAAACAAGAAAAGGTACAACCAGAGCACTTAGACAGCCGCGAAGCTCCAGAGGAGATTTAGAGCAAGTGGGGTCGATTTGACACCAAAGCTACCCAGGTTTGCCGTCAAGAGCCACTCCTTGTTGCGAATCCAACACATGTGGACACCATCAAAAAGTAAGAGCAAACCCAATTCTTCGATATCGTTGGTTAGAAATCTTGAAATATACTGTAGATGAGTCCAACCCTGAGTCTCGAAATGCGAACCTCAACCATTCTAACCAGACACTTACATTCATAACTCCCATGCATGCATCCTTGTCGGTGTCGACAATGCTGCCTGAATTCGGATCAGATACAATGCACTCTAACACCACTGTACTGTCGCAACAATTGCCTTGTTCATTCCAGCTCAAAATGTGGCACAGCAGTAGTCTTCACGTCGACTGTGACACTGGCAACTTTCACAACGTCAGCTTTAATCACAAATAATGGATTCCTTGCACGGAGCGCAGATTCGCACAATCGAGGGTTTTACGAGCTCGCAGACGAACATGATCTGTGGGGTCGCAGGGTTCTTTAGGGTTCCGTAAATCCACAGACGGTCACTCTACAACTATAATGCAGCAGCTTATTTTACGGTCGGAAATCTTGCGATGCCCACCTCTCCAAATAGTGTAACTGGCCGTAAATCAGTCAAACCTAAACCTATAGAAGTAAGTTGCCATGTGGCTTTTCGGGACAGATTCATCCCCTCAGAGTTCGATCCTACCTATAGCAGAGACAGAATAGAGCCTTTCTAACCGTCTCCGGTGGGACCGCTGAAAAATTGACGCTACTGTTGGACGCCGGAAACGACTGCTGATAGATTATAGCTGCGAGAGGTTGGTGGTAAGTGGCCATATGGGGCTGCACGTGACATCGCACGCATGACGGAGGGCGTGACTCAATGACACTTGACACATGCCTGCGGGCCCAAGTGCAAGTGGACAACTCGTCTACCACGCAGTCACTACATCCGAGCTCTGGTCCCTGAGCTTTAGTTTCTCTCTTACGCTGCTGATTGCGGCCGTACATCAGTAGGAGGAGCGCCACGGTTGTGAAGCTTGTGCTGGAGTGTACATTCGCCTTCTGATGACCTCGTGGCAGCGTTCGGACGAAGCGAGCTAGGCTTCGGAGAGTATTTTGGCGGTGATGTCCTAGGACCTAGCTGGGGAGACAATTAGGATGGGTAGATTGATGAGTTTGATGTCACCAGCGTTCAGCAACTGGTTTGTTTTGTAGCCATTTTGTTTTTGAAACTTTATGTTTTTGAAAAAAGAATATAATATTGGTAGCGACAATGAGGACGAGGGGATGGTCATCATGGTGGAGTTCCAACATGGCGGTGATCGGCTGGATGCTTCTTGTGTCGCGGATGGTGTTGCAGTTTGCTGAAGCGCATAGTGATTGTGGTCCGGTGGAGTTTTTCGTTCCGCGCCATGACAGAGAGATACGAGACGATTATGTGGTGAAAGTGACGTACAGAAATGGGTTGGTTGGAGGTAACCTAACGGAAGAGAGTAAAGAGACGAGCGAGTTTTTACAATGCTGTTGGTCTGCTGTGCTTGATTCAGCGATCCAGAGTGTCGAGGATTTGGGAGTTGGAACACGGCGGAGTCGCAGCTTGAACTGCAGCATCTTGTCTCCTTATCCCGGTATAGATACTATTGACTCCAGTGGCGCTACTTCGTCACCAGATTTTTGTCTGCGCTCTAATTTTTCGCTCAATACCAGCTACATTGTGGGAAATTCTGGACGTGAACATGAGAAGGGCTTTGGATGCGACTTGAAGGCGGAGGCTGTGCTTTCTTTGTCTTTGTACCTGAAGTGGTTTTGGCTGGTCCCCTTGTCTGATATGGGAAGCGCGAACAGACCACCCTTTTTGGCGTCAGTGCAAACCCGAGGAGAATGCTCGAGTGTTCCTTGTAGGCTGACCATTAGCAAAAGATCCCGGTCAAGTGTGCCGGAAGTCTCGAGCATGAAATTTTCGCCACGGTATTTGGGAACAGTGGAGTGGTTTGGCGCCTTGTCGAATAAGAAGCATGTGCTACTGTCACAGGAGTATGAAGCTGCTCTAAGTCTCCAGACAGAAATAATGCGCTCAGTTGAATCCGCTCGCATTCGAACCCTCCAGAGCAATTCCAGCACAAAGATATTCTACTTTTCATTGTCCACATTGAGCCCAATGTTGAGCATCGAAACCCCTGGAGAAGGCGCATTTCATTTGGGACGTCGATCATTGCTGGTAAGCAGCCACCGGCCTGAGTTTACTGCTCACGTTATTAAGCGTTTTGTTGGTTGATATAATTATCATGCTATTGCCCTTGATTGCTGTTTCTGTCTTTCTTTCTTTTTTATTAAGCATTATCAATTTGGTTTCATAGAAGCGCCTTTTGTTTGAGCTCGGCTCTAACCAATCAAGGCTATGGCAGGCTAGAGTCGTCAAAAGAGCCGATTCTATTACTCAATGGAGCGTTTTCGTCATAGGGACACTTCTCACTTTATCTGGAATATCTATGTTAGCAATACTGTGTGCGGGAAAAAAGGAACATGAATCTCCAGCTGAATTCTTAGACACAGTTCCTATTCTTCCTCCTCGCTACTCGTTCACCAAATTACAGAGAGCTACAAGAAATTTCTCTCGAAAGCTAGGGGATGGCGCGTTTGGATCCGTCTACGAAGGTACACTACAGAACGGTATCCGCGTGGCTGTGAAGATGCTCGAGAAGACTTCCGTGCAGGGAGAGAAGCAGTTCAGAGCCGAGGTTGCGTCCATGGGTGCGATACGGCACCTCAATCTCGTTAGATTACATGGATTTTGCTCCGAAGGCACTCACCGCCTGCTAGTGTATGAGTTCATGCCGAACGGCAGCCTGGATAGTTGGCTCTTCGGCAAAAAACAGGGTGGAAAGTTGCTGGATTGGGCGCAACGTCTTAACATTGCCGTTGGGACCGCGAGAGCCTTGGCATACTTGCATGAAGAGTGCAGCGATCACATTATTCACTTAGATGTCAAACCAGAGAACATTCTGCTTGATCATCAGTTCTGCCCCAAGGTAAGCGATCGACGCCACACAAGTTACAATGGACTGGAAATCAGGCGTTCAATTGTTTAAGTGAAGATTTTGCGCTCGGTGTAGGACTTTCAAAGAAATTCACCTAATCGCTAAGCTGTACTAAGTTCCTCTGTCGGCTTTGTTGCAGTTGTCGGATTTTGGACTCGCGAAGTTGATGGATAGAGAGCAGAGTAGGGTGGTGACAAGCATGCGCGGCACACCTGGATACCTAGCCCCGGAATGGTTACTCCCCCACGCTGCTGTGACTGCCAAGACGGACGTGTACAGTTTCGGAATGGTGCTCTTGGAGCTCCTAAGTGGACGCGAGAACACGAACTTCTCTCTAGGCAAGGATCAGTGGTACTTTCCAGCGTGGGCTTTTAAGCTCATGGGCGAGGGTCGCACAATGGAGCTCCTCGATAATCGGCTGCACGTCGAGGAGGTGGAGTACTTCCATAAACAAGATGCTGTGCGTGCTATTCACGTCGCGCTGCTATGCATCCAAGATGATCCCGAAGCACGTCCCCCCATGAGCCGCGTTTTGCACATGCTGCAAGGTCACGTTGAACCAGAGCCTTTGAATGTTCGTCAAGCCTCAATCCAACCTCCGCGTCGTCTTATGACAGCCTTCGCTGCTAGTGAATGCGTTGCGAATCCTGAAAACAAAAACTCTGACAAGAACGACAAGCTTAACAGCCAGAAAAACCCGATTTCCAACGATCAGCAACTCAAACTTTCGAACGATCATCAACTCAAACACAACAACTGTATCAGCGATCCAGCAACAGACATGCGCAACGACCACTACCCGCAACGGAATGACATGAATTTGCCAATTCACCAACCTGCAGTGCCTGCCATCGTGCAGTCATCCTTGCCAGGCGTCGCCGAATCTCCAAGACTCACGACCATGGATGCTCCTCCCAAACTTTCACCAAAGATGCCAGCCATTATGACACCACAGATACCACCACAGCAGGACTTAGAAAACATGGAAGAGGACAAGGATTCTTTCATGCTTGACTCGGACCTTCCAGCAGCTACGCAACAGGCGAGCCTGTACCGGAGCATCAAAGGCGAAAGACTGGCTGGAGCGAACACACTGGGCTCGAACCCCAAGTGCATCCCACCGTGGCCCGTGAAGGGGGACGTGATCCTCCTCCGTGGGCCACAAGGAGACTTCCATGGCGTAGTGAGGGATGTGAGAACGCAAACGAAGTTGATGCGGTTGGGGATCCTGCACCGCCTCAGTTCTGAGGCAAGGTGGAGTGTTCGAGAGGAAGAAACCATTTGGAGGCATTGGAATGAATCCATTCGGACGCTCGACTTCTGGACAGCCATTCGCTGGGCCACCATTCCGGGACGTGGGGTTGAGAAATTCCCCATCGAGTGGCAGCAGACCAGATAAAAGTGTCGGCGGGCATTTTTGTTTCTGATTAGTCGGAGAGTTTGTTTGTAATGAGATGCTTTGCCTTTCAGAGACTTGGCCAAGGACTCTGAACTCCAAGTTTGAGACGTCAAGGGTACAAGTCTGATGATCTACTCAGTTTCTTTCATCGTCCACTTGGGGGTATGGAACAGTGAGGGCGTTTCTTCGAAGCAGCTACCATAGATTGACAACAATGACGAAGACCCCATTTTATCTGTTCCGGCAATGCAAGCTATCTCTTGGTTCGACCATCTGCCTCGGAGGTCCTTTTATGAGTAGGCAGCTGCACCTTGACTGTATAGTTACTAGTGTACTTTGCGAAATACATTAAGCCTATTTTGGCTTTGGTTAGTCCTACACTTCTACTTCTCGAGTGTTTGTATCTTTGGCCGTTTTACATTGCTAAGGATTGAAAGGTCATCGACCGAGGGTCTGCTTGCAGATGGACGGCTAGTTCTGGTGGTCTTTCAATCGTGGTGGCTATCTTCAACGTGGGTTGTGTCATCTTTTTTTCACAGGGCATGAAAACATGTTTTGATCCAGTTGAGTGATGATTTACCAGCATTGTAGACCGGATTGACGACACCGAACTTGAGAGATGCCCTCAGACTAGGTCAATCCTGCACTGTGCTGGAGAACGTTTTGATATAAAGATGAATCTTTCGGAGGAAACAGCCTTGTGTGCAAATTCACGAAGATGAAGTTGCCTGGTCTTGCTTGAAAATACGTTTGAGCGCTACAGGAAGATCTGGGCAGCAGATTATTGCCATGCAAAAGTGTGGAAGCGTGTTCTTCATTACTGTGCACTAACACTCAGTGTAGCAATGTGACAATTAGGAACTTAGTGTCTCCTGAATAATGTGTAGGGGAGACTGTTTGATTGCGTGAGAGATTTGATGGTACCTAGTTTACTGCCTCAATTGTACCCAGTTAATTGTAATCTGCGTGCATTACATTTCGGTGCGAGAACTTCTAACTTTGCTTCGCTCGAATAATTTGGCAAATTTGGGCTGCTGAACTCACAACGCACCGGTTTATCAGGTCTTAAGCACAAGCCACACAAATCACTGATACACACATATATACATATATATACAAACACACACAGAGACAGATGCATGGCTATATATATATATATATATACGTATGTGCGTCCATTTCATGCTCAACACCAGCAAGGGTTAATTCTAACATGGTCCTCCAGGATGGTTTTCGAGTCAAGAGTCGAGGCAAAACAACAAAAAACAGAAAAAATTTAAAAAAACGTAGAAAAAGGAGAAGAGACAGGGTAGAGAAAAGAAAATATGATACTTTAATTATAAACTTGTATTGTAATACGCTTTGATTTCGTGTGCATGCGTGTATGTATGTGCATAGTAAGTTATGTTTGAAGATTATATTTAAAAATATGACTTGAATTCTTTGTCAATGAAAATTTTAAATCAACCTTGAGTTTTTTTCTTTTTCTTTTTTTGAACTGTACACAATCCAAATAAGTAAACTTCGAATTGAAAAAGTAAAGAAATAAAGAATAAAGAATTGAAAGATTGGTAATATTTTAATTTGTAAAAAAATAAAAAAATAGAGCCATAGCTTGATAATTATTACTATTATTGCTATGTTTCCAGAAATTAGAATATATGTATATATGCAAGATATTGTTTTTTATGAATTTGATTAAATTAAAAAGTAAAAGAATACATAAGAAACTTCCTGTACTAAGTTTCTGTAAAACCAACAAATTCATTTTTGAGGTTGTAGTAAAATGCACCAACATAGATATAATAATTTATTTAAAAAAACAAAGAAGTAAATAAATATTTATTTTAAAACATGAAAAAATAACCAAATAGCTATTTCAAAGTACAAAAATTATCATAAGCCTTGAGATAAATAAAACTCTAAAAGCACTTGTCAGATTTTTTTAATACTTATAAAATTTTAAAAACTAAAATATTTTTATTTGTAATTTTAGTAACTTGATATACAAGAGATTTAGTAATTTTTTTATAGATTCTTAAAGAGACTTACAGTCTAAAATTTTCTAAAAGAATTTTAAATTTTAAAAATCTATCAGAGTTTAAAACATTGTAGAATAACTTCAAACAATCTATCATAATATAAAAAAGATGTAAAAAAACTAAAAATTTATACCTATTACACAATAATTATTTTTAGTTTTGAATATTTAAAATACTTTCTGAATACTGAAAAAAATTAAAATTAAAAACCTTATATAAATTTTTATTATTTTAAAATATTTTAATAACCATAAATGTTTTATATGTATATATATATATATATATATATATATATATATTCTTATTAACAAATAGTAATGATTTAAAAAATTTATATTATTAAAATTTATAAAACTAAACATAAAGATATGTTTTCTATTCTTAAGTTTTGAAGTATAATTATTACAAAAAGAGTTTTAAAAAAATTAAGAATTTATTGTTGTGAATAATATATAAAATAAAATGTGAATTGAATAAAAAGTTATGTAATTTACGGGAAGGAACTGTCCTTTATATTCAATGAATATTGTACCAAAAATATTTTAAAAAACAACTTTGTATGATCTAAATTATTTGATTAATAATGATATTAACTATAATAAAATAATCAGCTACAAGAATATAAATAAACTTACAAAAGAAAAGAATAGAGATAACATTATTGTTTTCTCTAATTATACTACTTTAAAAGAAATTCATGTAAAATCGTTTTAAGGATTGCTACGCTTACAGAATAAATATAAAACTTATAAAAAAAATTAATAACAACTGATTAGATTTAAAATAACAGTTAAAATAAATTTTATTGTCACATGGTGTATCTAAAGACACTTGTAGATCCAACCCTCATCTAAGGAGTTTTTGTAATGGTTTACAGGACAGCTAGTATCAATAAATTCTACTTCTACTTGCTTGTAGATATATATATATATATATATATATATATATTAAACTGAATAACATAAATATTTGTGATATATTTATAAAAAAAAAATCTCAATATTTTATTTAATATAAAATCGAAGTGAGAAAGGTTAAAACTAATACAATTTATGCATCCAAAAAAAAATTAATACTTATTTCCCATGGAATTTTTGATATTCCAAATAAATAAATAAAACTTAATTTATGCATAATAATATAACATATTATGGATTTTTAATGCTTATATTTTGAAATATTTTATTAATCTAATAAAGGTTTAAAAGATAAATCAATATATATATATATATATATATATATATATATAGTGTAAAAATTGCATAAAACAGAGTGCTATTTTATTTTGAAACTTTTATTTTTAAAAATTAAGTTGTGCACATCTTAAAAAAATTCATTTTTTTGACATATTTAATTATGATATTATTACTTTAAAATAGTATAAACATTATATATATATATATATATATATATATATATATAACACAACAGCTAAAAAAACTCAAAATATCATTTATACAATTTTAATTGAAGGTTTTATAAATGTTTCAATAGTTGGTATTTTAAAAAAATTTAAATTCAAAAAGAAATGTTTGATCAAAACATATTCAACTTAAAAAAATTTATGAGCTGAATTATTTATTGGGTGAAAATTTTCATGAAATTTTAAAATTGAAGAGAATAATTTTAATATTGGAATCTTTTGTTAAAATAATAGTAAGAACTTGGCTTTTCAATGGAACAACTCTAAAAATATAACTTATTTGGTTTAACAGTAGTGTTTAATATTTACTCAACAGAGGATTTTTCATTGAAATGCACCCAAAAATATATTAGTATCTAAAATCAAAATTGAAACAATTATGAATGTGGATTGCATATGTATATAATCAAAATAAAATAATAATAGTGAAAAACAAATTAGGTGTGAAGCATGGATGGATAACAATTCATATCCATCTATTTTTTTTTATTTGTTTGGAAAATCACTATACAAGTTAAGCCAATAAAAGCAACAATCCATTTGCTTCAAGTTTTATTTTTGTACAAAAAAGAATGAATGTACATCAGTGTTTCATGTCTCAACTAAAACAGTATTCCATTACTATTAATTAAAATTACACAGAATGCCCATAATGGAAGCCAATAGCCATGCATATCAATAATCAAAGCCAGAATGGGGTTTGAACATTACCTTGTAAGACCTGTAAACTTCACCCCACATATTTGTTTATTCATCTTGGTTGTAATCAAAGCAAGAGGGTTCAGCAAATTTAACTACTTCTCTAGTGCTTGCTGCAGAACTTGACAGGAATATCACACCTTCATTGCTTCAGATGTCATGTGTAAGTCTGTTTCTTCAATGCTGCATGGATCTAATGGTTGGAGATGTGATGTGCAGTCTAAGTCTATTACTTATTGTCATCAAGTCTTGTACACATTCCAGATCAATAAGGTAATCAACCCATTGTCAACCACCACCCATTTCTAACACATAGAGTGTGCTATTTTGATTTCCATTATATAGGGCGACTAGATCTGACATCCATTGAATAAAATTCATTGTATTCATAATGGGCAGAACTGAGGTCGTACTGCTGAACTTTTGTACATCTCTTGCTGTCGAACGTAAGTGTCGTTTGGTTGATCCTTGTATCAGATGTTGGATCCAGAACTCGCTCTGATGAGTCAAGCTTGAAGCTCTATCTGACGTGATAACATGCGGTGGATCATGTTTCTAGATGGGTCACATGCAAACCCACCAGATGCTCCAACAGGTGACGAATTCCCGTGAGCTACCGACATCGAGCTCACAGGGAAATATTGCCTTTCTCTGATTTGTTAACGAGTGGTTGAGGATTTCACGCAGCGTGTAGGATTGTAAGTCGAGAGAAGGTTGAGCATTTTGCAGATTCCTTTCGCAGTGCCATCCAGTTTGACGTATGTTTTACAGAATGCTGTACAATGTTTATCATTCCATTATCAATACCATATGCATGTTAATGTATTCGCTTGTATGTTTAGAGGTGTTTGATAATCAACATTTGAAGCAGTCCGGAGGGAGCCGCAAATTTATGGTGCTATCAAAAACAACTGGACCAGACTAGTCACCAGCTTCACGATTAGGACCAGATAAGTCTAAGTCTTGCAGAGAATCTCATAGAAGACCTCTGGAAGACCTCTTGTCTGGAATTATAGAAAGACAACTTATCAAGCAGATATAACCTAATGTTGACAAATGATTCGTTTGCGGAACGTTTTCAAACATTTCACATTTCACATGAAACGACTCCAGAGGCGGGTCAAATACTCTAACACTGAACTAATGGCATTTCTGTGCTACACACATCGACTCGAACTCATTCGCAAGTTAGACCGGGTGGAGGCAAACACCACTTAGCTTGAGGAATTGGCAAATAGGCTTCCAACTTGTTGATGGATTCAGCTTATCCAACGACAAGCTGATCCAACTACAAAGAGGCACAGTTTAGATGCGCCTATCATCTGCTAGCATCAATTGCCATCCTGCACAAGAACAATAGTACGAAGCTCGGTATGTAACTTGGAATTTTCAAATTGGTGGTCCTATTCTTCGATTAAGCATATATAAATGTAGGTGTTTTGTGATTGAAAAGATGGTATTGACTCATGTGGCAAGCAGCTTACAAAAATCGAGAGATTTACCTCTAAGATGGACTTCGCATCAGGATCAAAAGTCTTGCAAAGAATTTCATAGGACTTGGCAGCTCCAATCTGGCAAGGACAACACCATCATCAGTTTACACACCAAAATTCAGCTATTATACGCATACTTAGTGCCGTACAGGGTTGAGTCTGCAGAACCAGTTCATATGTTGGACTAAGGAGCATACCAGTGTATTCGCCCATCTCGATGGTGAAATTGCTGCAATCTTGAATCTACAAAACAAACGGAGGTCGAATTCATAAGGATCCTTGCAAAAACACTGAAAAATTACTCGACAATGAAATCTTTCCTTCGGATGAAGAAATATTAATTGTCCAAGTCAGACTCATCTACGCAATTAAAATATCCTACCTACAAGCTCAATTCAAGAGAAGCTAACATTTTCTATGTGGTTCTTTACTCCTCTAATGTAAACAGGTGTACTGGATGGCTTTAAAACTCTACACAGCCCGCAGGTTTAAAATGTTTGAACGATTTGTCCCAAGTCCCATTTAGAACTACAATTTTCCCACTTGAATTTTGAAAACCTCAGATGCAATTTTTTAAACTTTGCCGAATTTGATGGAGTAAGACGATTTCGCTTCACCTTAATTTCCCAGTGTAGAAAGCCAAAGCCCGAACGTTCCTTTTTTGCAAGGTCAGGAGCATTGCTTTCATACCGTTCTGCACACAGCAAAAAATAGGAGGCATTCTAGCAATCAAATAGCAACAAGGCAGCTGGTTCTACTTATGGACGCTCCGGTCTTCGCATCCAAAAAGGTATGCAGAATTAACAAGTTTATGAAGCTATGGTCTTAAATGAGAGAAATAACTAAAAACTTGATGAAAGGTTAGACCTACAGAGGGTTAGACAGCCAACCTTGCGGGCAATCAACTCAAGAAACTGCATCAAAAACTTGCCAAGCCCCTTCCCTTGCACAGCTTGTTCCACTTGGATTTCATACACGTATAATGCTGGGACTTCATGTTCCACAACAAATCTGTAGTGAACAAATGCTACAATAGGATCACCTTCACCTTTCCATAACAAATTATTACTCCGATCCGTAGGCAGAATTTCAGTGGAGTTACTACACGGCTGTTTGACGAAAATGTAGCGTGCATCTGGCGATACCATTTCACGACGCTTGTTCTTCTCCTCCGCAGGCCATTCTTCAGGACCATATGGCTCCTCCATATTTACCTGCTCTGCGCAAAAAAGGTCGTTCCCATCAGAGATTAGCGAGCACTATGAGAGTTCCTGTGCGGCAGAGAACAAGAAAATGAAACCAGAATCAATTGATTGACTGTTTCTCAAGGCTTACGGACGAAGTGTAACCTTTAGCAGAGTCTGAACGTATTGCTTCACTGGAGGGGACAAAGAATCACCGCGTCCTGCCTCCATGATCAAATTCAAGCCTACGAGATAACACGAAATGAGGTGCAATCATCCAGAGATTTGTATTTAGGGTTAAAGAGATCACTTGTTTTCAAGACGAAGTTGATATCACACAAGTTTGCATTCAACACGTTCTCATGTTCTATGCTATCAACTGATTGAACTAAGCTTTTTAAAAAAACTGCAGCAGAAAAGGAAAGGCATCAAAAATGCAGAGAAGACCATGGAAGTGTCAGTTGAAAGCTTGGAACGCCAAAAACAGCCGGAATAAGCGGCTCACCTACCATTCCTTTCGTATTTGAGAAAAGAGGGAAACTCCTCGATGGGAGCTGCTTTGGCGTTTGCAACTCTCACGAATTCATCAATGCTCTGCTTCTTAGCTAGCTCCTGATAGTAACACAATCACATAAAACCCGGTTTTCAATTTCATAAGATGATATGGGGGATTGTTACTCCCATTCTTAATCCCAGTCCAGCAAATGCGCAAAAAGGTCATTGAGGACAAGAAGTTAGCAACTGGAAGCCGTCGCTTGAACACCAAAATTCTGATGAGGTTTTCAATCGACTGTCACGCGAACGAATTCCGCGATAGAAAAGAGTTTGTATTTCAACTAAATTACGGGACCCAGCATCAGAATGGTTATTGACTACTCAACAATACAGTAGAAATGAACTTAACAACGCGGCGTGTCGATCATCTCAAACCCTCCAGAATAATGGTGCGAGATTACACCAGTGTCGATCATCGCAAACCCTCCAGAATAATGGTGCGGGATTACACCATACCGGTCCCAATCGATTTCATCACAAGGAAAGATGCTCAATCACAGTTCACAAAAATCAACAGGGCGCAAGGTTTGAAAGTAAGAGAACCTCTTTCCGCTTGAGCTTTTTCTCTTTGCTGGACTGCTTCTTACGATCCATGGGTCTTCAATCACAAGTCTATCGTCCTCTTTCCGATGGATTCTACCGGAAACATACGTATCGAAGTTAGAATCAGCAGTGAGAACATGCAATGGAACTAACAATAGAACAGCGTCAGTACAAACGCAATCGATTTGCAGGATCCCAAGGTCAAAGATCACTGAAGCCACAATCGAACGTTACCGAAAGACACTCGGTTCTACGATTTCTTCTAATGAAGGCTCCAAGGTGAGTTATTCCGCAGAAACGAATGCTTCTGGATGAAGTTCACGAAAGCCCAATTCAAGCCCTAATATAACCCTTTGTGGAGCCCGTTCTCGATAAGAATTAGTCGTCCTCAATCCCATGGATCGCTCACTTCTTGGCCATGCACTCGGTCCCTAATCACACAAGTAAATAGGATAAGCCTGCTTCGTTGCATGATAGAATCCAACTTTCTGACGTTTCCTTGGTATTCACGTAGAAATGCTTCAACCTACTGAAATGTGTCCCGGTTAGGATTTGAGAAATTCAATACACTAGAGCCGAAGTATGTGGTTTTCTTTTAGTCTTTTTTTGTTTTGCATACACAACTGTTCCCATTTGAGGTATATTAAATCCCCCATGAATTCTATGAGTATTCTAATACCATTCAAATTGTCACTCAGCCTGGTGTGTGTTGTAATGCCATTGCATGTTTCCAGAACAGAATCACTCTGAGTCCGGCACCGGCCAAGAGCAGACTTCGAGGAGGTATTTCATTCATATTTTGTTATTTTCTGGCAACCACCTTGCCACAGGAGTTATCTATGAAATTGTGTGTGGATCACATACGTGTCATCGAATTGCACTGCTTTTGATTAGTCTTGCGTTGAACAATTGTCTACAGTTGAAGGGTGAAAACGTTTTCACCGAAAATAAAACTGCAATTTCTATTGTAGAATTGTGACCAGAAAGGCGAGTACAGAGCTATGGGGACGTTGTTGCGGCAGTTGCAATCCAGGGTGGCCACGGTAACGGAAGTGGTGACCAAGTACAACAAACAAATGTTGGAAAAAAACAAGCATTACATTGCCGACAATCCCACCCCTGAGAAATGTCAGGCGAGGCCCTAACATCAACTCTTTTGAGCGTCAAGCACACTATTCAATTTCATCCTCCACCACTGTAATGCGCGGTTTTCTTCAGAAAATCCACACAACTGTGTATAATCGATCTCAACTATTTGATTTGCAACTGCAGGCAATCAAGGAATAGGAGATTTGTTGCTCGTTGGGTTCAAAAATCACCCATAACCTTTCTCGTCGTCTTGATGACAGGAACTGTCCAAGAAACTGTTCTTTACGCAGCTGGCTAGCTTCCCTGTTCGCTACCAAGCGATGTTAAAAGAAATCGACCATCTGAAGGTTAAGCTCACTCACCGGAACGATCTCGAACTGGAAGATGTGGGCATAAGCGTCCTCTTCGCGTTGGAATGCTATGGGTGGTTTTGCGTGGGCGAAATCATTGGGCGTGGGGGCACCATTGTGGGTTACAAAGTGTGATCCAAGTTCAGTAACAAAGTTCACCGAGCTTCCCCTCTCCACTGTCACTGTCGATTCTCACTCTGTTGCAGAGGTACCCAAAACTTAGGGTTGATCTAAAACTTTCTCTCTAATGGACTCTTACCCATGTTGCAACATCAAAAGACATGGAACCATAAGAGTATGTCAACTGTTATATATTGGTGGACTTACAAAGGAAGCTTACTGGTGATGATGTCCAACGTCGTGTGAGAACTGCACTGAGACAGAGCCTGCCTTCTAGAAGGTGATGCTGCTGTTAGTAATAATGGACGTCTCACTCTCGGTTTACAAGCCAGCCAGAGGTACAGGTAAGTGAAAAACAACTCTGTCTGTAAGTTGTGAATGTGCTCCTCCAATGTTGACTCACACTTGCAGGCAATCTCTACAACGGTTATGTGATGTTGTTATGCTGCTGTAGATCCAGAATACTTCTTCACAACCTCTCATTCCAGCCCTTCCTCAAATCTCCCACCTGCAACAGATCAAATCAGGGATGTGTTTCAGATTATGTCAAATCAAATCTAGTCTACAAGTCAGTTCGTGGATTAGAATAAGTAACTATTCGCTTCAAGGAACACTGTATTTACTTGAGCAGTGTGGATTACCCAGCTTGGCAGATTGACACGCTCCTTGGAGAGTTAAGATTGCGTCCATTGCTCCGGTTTCAATACGCCAACATAGTGGTGCCATGACTGGACATTAGGGGTTTTATTTGTGCTTTGGCCCACTTGTGCAATCTCTTTATTGATCACCTAATTTTAACAAGAGGTTTCAAGTAAGGTACAAACCAAGTTCTTCATTGTTGTGCTGGTGAGAAAGAAGGGAACAACTTTGAACCTCATTCTTGAGTTTTAATCAGTTGTCTCAATTCCTTTGAACATCACTTAACTTGTCTCTAGTTTAGTACAATGCTAGTGTTTCTTGTTGAGGATTTTACAAACCATTAACTTGTCTCTAGTTTGGTACAATGCTAGTGTTTCTTGTTGAGGATTTTACAAACCATTAACTTGTCTCTAGTTTCGTACAATGCTAGTGTTTCTTGTTGAGGATTATACAAACCATTAGCATGTTTTGAAGAGAACTTCAAATTGAAAAGTTTGGTTTTTTGTAACTTTTTCATAACTTTTTTTATTCTCTATGTTGGTGTAGGTAGTTGTAGATAAATAACAACCCAAATACAAGTTTATACAAGAAGAATAAATCAATCAAATACAACAAAAAGTTATCAAACACTTCATCAATACATCAAAGATAATTAGAACCAATATAGAAAGGCATTATCAAAGTAGTATATAAACTATGTGAAGATCAACTAATTGTAGTACAAAGACAATAGCAAGTCATAGTTATACTAAAGAATAATAATATTTAAATAAAGTGATATTTTGTGATCTAATAAAAAATAAAAATAAAAAATAAATTATTAGATTATAAATATGTATGCTTTGAAAAGGTTACAAAATGAATCAATATAGAATGACAAGTGTTTTGAAAAGTATATATTACTTTTAAAAAAAATGAAAGTAGTAAGTCATTACCAAATGTATTTTTAAAAAATAAAATAACACTATAATTATTTATAAATCTTATTTTTGAAAAAAGATAATAGAAGATTTTAATTTAAATAAGTCATATGTATATTATTTATTTTTTGTAAGTAGAAATGTAATCGTTAATCAAGTCATCTTTTTTACTTTGAAGTATTTGCCATTAATATAGAGAGCTTTAATATAAGTACTACGAAATAGTATCTTTTTATGTATTACTTCTTCTAATATAAAAAAAAACATAGGATACATAGTTGTGTTTGTAGATACAAAAATAAGATTTTTTAAAAGAAAATATGATGTTTTGGTACTAAAGTACATGACTAAGTTTCTTTTTTATAGCAACTAAATGTAGAAAATTGGTTCAATATTACATGATTATTTTTTTCCAACCAATAAGAATTTATTAACCAAATAAGAAGTTTTTGATGTTTATAGATAAAAATAGAAAAGCTTTGAATTTGTAAGATTGCTTTTCATTCATAATACTCACAAGAAGATTATCTAAGATTTTAAAATTTATAACCTTATAGAATTTAATAATGCCACATATTTTTAAAAATAGTAGAGAATCTATATTAAAAAAAGATTGTATTTAAATCTTCTATTTAATCTCTTGTACTTTATACAATAAAGATATATATTTGCTAGACAACATTTAGAGATCTACATTTAAAACATTTATACAATTTGACAAAGCCAAAGATTATTTTATCTCAATATAGAATAGAATAATGATTTACTTATAAACATCTTTTAATATCTTTTTTCAACCATCTCAAATTAGTTTTGAATTTTTTTGAAAAAAATGACTATTTAAATCTAATATTGAAGTTTAATTAACTTTATTTCTATTTTAAACCATAAATATATAAAAATAAATATATGCTATCATGTATAAATTTTTACATAGAATATCATTACTAAATTATATATATATCTATATATATTAAATCTAATTTAGTACATGTTGATGATAAATGAATTTACATATAAAAGTTAAGACTAGAAAGGAAAATTTAAGGCCATATAAATTTCATCTCTGTAACATAACTTTGAAGTATTAATAAATGATTCATCTAATGGATTTTTTAAAAAACTTAATGAATTAATTTAATTTTAAATAAAAATCTTTTAATTAACTAATTTTTATTGAAATTATAACAAAATAGAAGAATTTATTTTCTACTAATTATATTTATGTCTTTAAGCTTAGGAAGTGGTGAGCATTTATTCATTTATTCTATCATTAAATCAACTTCTTGGTCTTATATCTTTATTCAATCTCTAATAACAAGTGTTTGATAAGAGGTTACTATACTATTGTAAACATATTATTTAAGTTTAATTTTATGTACATAGAACAACCATTTGGAGCATGAGGCTTAGATAAATGCCTACGTTTCTTATTTTAAAACCATTAAAAATAAGCTTACAATGCCTAGACAGAGAAACAACTTTTTACTTATAACAAAGTAAATTCGAAATCTATATTTTATTTATTTTAGAAACTCCTTTGTAATCCATAAAATAATCCTTTAAACAAGTTTGATAATATCTAAACCAATTATAGGATATCTTTGTACAAAACAAAGTAAATTTTACTTCTTATATAGCATTTTTTTATATTTATTTATAATCTATCAAGAACCATAATTTAATGAAGTAGATACTTTGTTTATAAGAGGTGTAATTCTATATCTTTTTTTACTAGAAAGAATCTCTTTTATTTTCTGTAATTTTTTTTTAAAAAAAATTTAAAATTATTGATGATTAAATAATAAAATTTATTATAACTTTTTATTGCAAGATTTTTATTTTAGTGGTTCATCAAGTTATTTGATTATTATTCAAACTTATTAAGAAGTCTAAAAAGAGTAAAATAAAAAATTATTTTACTTTGTTATATTATATTATATTATATTTTTATAGTAAAAAGCTATATTCAATCTTATTTTGGAATATTAAATAGTCTAAATTATGAATACTATAAGTTTATTTTATCCTACAAAACATTTGCTACTATCAATAATGATAAACAACTTGGATCAAATTAAAAAACACTTCAATTTGAACGTTTCAAATAAAATAATCTTACTTCTAATCGGATAGGATGTGAGCAAGAGATTTCAAACTGCATTTCTTCAAAATAAAACAATCATTAATTTCACATAGCACAACTTTGCTTTGATACCATGTCAAACAATGCACAACAAAGATAATAATTGGCTTTGAAACATTACACCGACATTCAAGTAAATCTGAGACAATGTGCATCAAATGGCAAAAATTGCAATGCTTCAACATGTATGCTAGCATACAAATTTGGCACAACAATTTTTTATAGATGGTAAAGCTGGGATACACTTATTGGGTAGTAGGAAGATGGTAAGAATGTGGGTGAGTGTGTGCATCCAACGATGAATAAATGATATCCCTCAATACTTTAGATAACAAAAAAACAGGAAAAAAATTGACGTTGAGGAAGCTATCTAGACTGGTATTCTAACCTCATTTGGATTCCCGAAATTGAGTCTCGGGTTGTGGCCAACTGTGCGGCCACTCCTCACATTGCTGCTGGATTCCACATCACTAGTGGGTGCATTTGCGGTGGTGGATATTTGTCTTGCCTGCCGAGTTTCCATGGCTGCTGCTGATGGATCAGAATCTCTGGCGATGAGCGTTCGTTGCACTTTTGGGAGGTAATGTGGAGATTTCGACCCTTCATGAGAGTGCTTCGTCGTTGCAGTTGCAGTTGCACTGGGAGGAGGAGGAGGAGGAGGAGGAGGAGGCAGGGGTGTTGCAAAAGCTGCTCTGTGCCTTGGAGATGGTAGCGGGGATCTTGACCTTGTGGTGCTCGGGCGAGGTGATTTTGGCTGCGGAGGTGCAACGTCGGTGTTGATGCTGCTCTCAGCACTTCGGTACGGTGATAATGGATTGCCGACATCATCCGTGGTTGTGGCAGCAGCGTGATGAGAGTGGGGAGTTGTTGGTACCGAAAGCGCGGGTGTCTCCCACGCGTATGTCATTTCCATGACCTTTTTCAGTCCCTCGACCACGTCGGTCATCTTCGGTCTTTCCTTGGGTTGCTTCATAAGACACTGGATGGCAGTCGATGCAAATTTCATAGCTCCTTTGGGTGGATACCGTTGTTCTAAACGTGTGTCCATTGCGAGGTGAAACTTTCGTGTGTCCCGAATGAAGGGCTTCACCCACTCCAAGAGTCTCTGCTCCTTCTTTGGCGCATTGTTCTCCATGGCCTTCCGGCCTGTCAGAATCTCTAGCAACACCATTCCGAAACTGAATACGTCACTCTTGAATGTCAAGTGGCCCGTGTGCATATACTCTGGAGCTGCATATCCGTAAGTTCCCTTCACCTGCAAAGAATCCACGTAAGGATAATGGCACTGGATAAGTTGTATGCTTTCTCACCGTTCATCCACATCATGTTCGGCCGGAAGGGAATATCATTTTTCGAAGTAAAGAGGTTTCATACCGCAGTGGTGACATGGGACTTGTTCGCTTCTGGTCCTTGTCTAGCAAGGCCAAAGTCGGAGAGTTTTGGATTAAATTCGTCATCCAGCAACACATTTGCGGCCTTAAAATCTCGAAATATTACCTGTTATCCACATCCAGAAAGTCCACAATTATTAATTGCACGCCCTGCACTGGCCCTCCGCGAAACAGAACACGGTAACCTGGGCATTGATGATGCATTTGGTATCGAACTGCTTACCTCCTTGTCTTCATGCAAATAGGCAAGTCCTTTCGCAGCTCCGAGGGCAATTTTCACTCTCGTTTGCCATGATAGAACTGTAGGGGAGGTGCGGAAGAGATGGTCATCAAGACCCTTGTTTGGCATATACTCGTACACAAGTAACCGCTGCAACCTCCTCCCCTCATCATCTGCGCAGTATCCAATCAGCTTCACCACGTAGGGATTGTCTACTATTCCCAGAAAATGAACCTCGGTTATCCATTCATGGTGTCCCTGCAAGACATTTAACATAGAATCAGACTGCTTGAATTCCGACAACTAGGAGTCCTTGCCCACTGTCAGCCTACATGCTATGTGCCGACGTTAAGATTCGAAGGTTGTGCAATGGAAACCACCGAAGGTGATTGATTAAAAGTCTCAGTTGAGTTTCTGCTGCAAATTTGTGAGGACTAGCCAAACCAATTTTTCGACTAAGTTAAGGACACATGTCTGTCTGCAGCGCTAATACAAGTCCCGTGGTCAACACTGTCAACTCATTGACATAGTGCTAAAACATTCACACATCACTAGCATGCAGATAAGAGTAGCAAATAACCTGGGGTTTGTTTGCTCAATGTTAGAGTACTAATGTGTTATACCTGAAGCCCGTAAGTGTTGAGCTTCTTAATAGCAACCTCGATTTTCACTTCGACGTCTTGAAACTTGGATTTATGTTTGATGACTCCTTTGTAGACAGAACCGAAGCCGCCTTCCCCTATTTTGTTGTTCGGTGAAAAATTCTTGGTCGCCGACCTAAGCTCTGAAACAGTGAACGCTCTCAGTTCGTGGGATTTTCTTTCAACTAAGTCTGCTGGGTGTTCCCCGGTGGGTCGAGAGTAGCCAGGATGGGATGAACACCCCGACTCATGATCCCTTTCTCCTATGCTTGATGGTTTTAACCTTGAAACTACCTCCGGGTCCGACTCAAAGCCGTGTCTATGATTGGACCCTCCTGCGCCCTTCCTCACCCCAAACCTCGAATTTTCCTGCCGGTCCGAATCAATTCCCTGTCCCTGATTGTCCCCATCGTCGCACTTCTTCGCCCGTCTCGTCAAATTAATTCCTAAGCAGCTCATGATTCATAAACCTTGTGTTCGTTTCATAAGGTTGTCAGTTTGCTGCTCGACGAATCCAAAATCTATGGCCAGCTTTCCTACAAAAGATATTACTACAAAGTGTCAATTTGAAGCGGTTTTTATAATTTCAACGCTTCCTAAACCAGTCTTGTCGATAGAAAAAAACACTGCATACAAGGACAACCTGAATGCAAGTCCCGTCGTATGATTACCTCCTCTACCCTAGAAACCGACAACAACAGTGATACATCCAAAGATATTCACGTATAGTAAAGTACTTCAAAAACAAACAAAACAAAAACACAAACAAGAAACTTTGTAACAAAATGAAGATCAAGGTTAAGAAAAAAGAGTTTTGCTAGCAGTGTAACCTAATCTACTGTTGAAGATTAAACATGATTGACTAATCTCAAAGGCTCAACAATGTCCCACATAAGCTGGAGGCGTTTCAAAATCCTGAACGGATTTTAAAATTTAAAGAAGTTCACGTGATTGCTTGCGGTAATGTTACCAGCTTGCAAGTATGATGACAGCAGTTTGTCGAACATGATTTTCACCACGTTTCGGCAAAGATTAGCCTATTTCTGTGCGTTGACATCGCCAAAACCCCCGGCGCAACGAACATATAACTGTATCCCGGGAGAACTGCCGATACATCCAACATCGAGTACCAAATGCTCCGGCAGGTTACGAACTAGCAAAGTAGTAGATGTAACTCTCTAATAGGAACCGTGGTACTTTTATAATTAATTACTTTTTGGAAATCTTCGACACTCCCTCAGCGCACCGATCTCTCAACCAATTCGTCGCAAAGCGCGTTCATGAAAATCAATGATAAGCACTTTAACACTCTCTATCAAGAATCTCCTGGAAATTAATCATTAAAATCAGAAGTCCTGACACGCGGAATCAGTTGATGAAATGCCCATCATGAATCCTCGTCCCCGAATACACAATGAAGCTAAGAAAATAGAAGAAACAGGAAAAATTGGCATCATAGAACAAGAACAAACTCCAGGAACAGACAAGTGGACATGGCCACGGCCAAAGTGACACAAACACACACGCAGACGTCTCAAGGTTCGCCACTAATCGGTAAGCGCTGCTGCAACGATCAATGGATGCAGGCAATGAATTGCCCACTTCGTAATCACACCACTTGCTAACAATTCAAGAGGCTTCGCCAGTTTGGTTGCCTACCCACAATCTGTCGGCAGCGCTATAAACGACAGTAACACTGATGGTAGACACACAAGCTCGACAAATCCACCAACAACCTATCGTGACGCCTACCTCAAATAGTAAGTGAAAGGAGATCGACGGCCCAAGGAATGCAACGCGGAAGCATCGTTGACCGAACCGCCCGCGATTCTGACATTTACGACTGCAGCCACAACCCTGTTGCCGTCCCGTCTCTTGCGCTACACGAAAAAAGCGGGGGTGGATTCACATTCCTGCTCTTAAGGAATCAATCAAACAGGATTTCTTGCTAATCTCTCCCATAAACCCGAGGAATCGGGTCCAAAGGATCCATGACTACTCCGTCGCTGACCCCTCCCCACACATCCCACAAATGCTAGCGCGACTCGGCCTGCGGGATTGTTGAGGAGATCCCTTGTCGTGAGAGAAATTGAAGGTGCAGACTCACGACGAGTGCGAGGAAATCTCGCGCGCTCGTTTGGGTGTGTCGGAAGAAAAAACATTTCTACGGTACTGCGCCACCGACATCGCGTCGCGTCGCATCAGCCCCAGTCGGTCGGAGATCCGACGGCGGTGAGTGAGTGAGTGAGTGGTGCCATGCTGCATTATTGGAAGCTACCCAAGTTACAATTGATGTGCAATGTTTTTGATGGGACTCATGCCACCAACTTTATTATTATTGAGCATAGTTCACCATTTCCATTCTCATACAAGGTTGAGTCCCAAGTTTTCATTTTAAAATTTTGGATGAGATTACTATTGAATACACATGAAACATCAATAAATGTAAATAATCCAAGTCATTGGGTACAAAAAAGTTGTTTACAATTTATAAATTGGATGTCCTTTTGCAAGTCTTTTTGATTGCTAACACTTATTTTGATTTCCATCAATGCAAAGGTTTCTTTGTCTCTTAGTTATGTACCTAAGTTTCCTTATTATAAAGATACTCTCATGAAACCTAACCAACTGAACTTCTTTGCTAATTACTGGAATATTTAAGAAAAAAATTAAACCATATTTTATAGCTTCAAGTTTGCTTAATGAGCACAATTGTTAATATTACTTCCAATTTTATTGTCTCCATACATTTAATATCTCCCTTCTTGTACCAAATAAGCTAAATGAGAGATTTTATTTCAATGAATTAATTATTTATTTTCATAATATTTTTTAAAGAATAATTATTTTAAAAATAATTATGATAATAATAATAATAATAATAATAATAATAACAATCATTGGAAATAAAATCCAACCTATTCATAAGACCAAAAAAAAATTATTTTTAAAAATATAACTTAAAGGTTTTGTTGTTTTATTGTTTAATATTGTAGTATGTCTATAAAGTCATATGTATTTAGTGTGATATTCTTTTGAGTTCATTCAATGTGTTCAATCTAAGATATTTTAATCAATATTTAGGTTGCTTTATTTATTGTATATAAAATTTTAAATTATATTAGAATCTATAGTAAATAAAATACCATGTATATATATATATATATATATAGAGAGAGAGAGAGAGAGAGAGAGAGAGAGATATTTTTTATTTTATCTATAAGAGTTTAAAATCTATTAGTTAATCTAAAAAATTAAATGTTGAATAAAAATTTTCAAAATTTTATATTTATGGGCTTTCTTTCTTCTTCTCCTTCTTTGATAATTTTTTATAAATTTTTCAAATTCTTTTTCAAAACAAAAGAAAAATCAAGTCTTTTGAAAAAAAATATTTGATCAAATTTAACTTTTAAATATATCTTTTAATATTTATAAATTAAAAATATATACTTTAAATTATATCTTAAATAATATTAATTAAAAGAAAATAGCTTCACATAAAAACTTTAAACATTCCTTTGATTACTAATTGTCACAAACATATATTTATTGTAATTATTACCTAGGTAATATGAATAGGTAGAAGTAAGTAAAAGTAGATTAATTTCATAACATCTTCTCGGAAAGCTTCCTAAAAGCTTTATAGATGCTCCTTTGACTTTACATGTCTTTGTAGTTGATTGATAGGTTAGAAACTTGGTCAACAAGTTAACCACGTGCCATACATGTTGATTTCTTGCAAAACAAGCTAATTATATGGCGCCTATATAGAAAACTTGCCTTGAAAGTTAAGATATGTGTTGTGTAAAGTCAACACATTTTGGAAGTCTTATTGAATGTTGCCATATAATTGCTAGGTAGATAGTATATATAGAGGCAAAAGTGAAGCGTCTTTCACTCTTGTCAATTCTTTTCTTGCTTCTTGTTTAGTTTCAAGAAGTCTCTAGTTTTCTTATCTTTTGATAATAACCATTTTAGTTTCTTTTTAATATATATATATTTTTATCTCTATTTTATAATACTTATTTGAAAAAGTCTCACTTATTTATTTATTTTTATTAAGTTCTTATCCTTGACAGATTATCAAAAGTACACTTATAATATTAAAGTTTTGTCTTTTTTTTAATTAAAAGTGAATTATCCATTTTTCTTGGCAAAAGTATATTAAAAGTTATAAATTACCCTTTTCTAGAGTAATATTATTTTTTTTGTTCTCAAATTCTTTCTTATACTTATTGTGAGTAATATTAAATATTTCTTTTTATTTAAGTTATATCATGGTAGAGCTTGTCAAAATAAAGAGTATAATGGCACAAGTGCAAAAATAATTAAGGAATTTAATGCATGAGATGCATCAATTCAATTTATGACCATAAAGAAGAACAAGAATAACAAAAAGTGGAGATATAGAGATGATTGGTGCTACTTCAACATCTGTACCAAATCATATCCTTTCTCTTATACTAGAACACCATTCAAGTACTAGAGAAGCAAAAGTTGCCTTATTTGAGAAGTTTGATGATACAAGATCAAAGTTTTAAGGATTCATCAATTAAGTACAATTGATAATTGAACTTCAACTCTAAAGCTATTCAACTCTGAGATCACAAGTCAAGTTTATTAGAACAATACTTTCTAGTTTTGCATTATCATGGTTTTTATCTTTTTTTGAATAATGTGAACTAATATTGGATAATTTAAAAGCTTTCTTGGTGGATTTTAAATCTATGTATAAAGAATATGATGCAATTTGTGTTGCAACAAACAAGATCCATATTTTACGACAAGAAAATCAATCTATAATATTATATATTTTACAATTTAGATAACTTACAATTGATATCAAATGGAATGATGTTGTACTTATTAGCCATTTTTTTTTTATGGATTACAATATTAGATAAAAAAATTAATACTTAATTTATATGATTATCAAATATTGAGTCAAACAATTGATTTTGGTATAAAGTGTGTCAATCAACTTTTTGAATTTTGGTCTGAAAATTGCATAAGTAGGCCTCGACATTACTATAATTCAATAGCAATACCAATATCTTTTCAAGACATATCTTTAAAAGTAGAGGATATACAAATTGATGCAATATGTTTCAAATCTCTTACTAAGCAAGAAAAGACTTATTATTGTTAAAAAGAATTATGTTTATATTATGGAGAATCAAAGCATATTACTCAACATTGTCCAAAGAAGCGACAAAATTATAAAATGAGAAGTATGACTATTAAAAAAGGTAGTATGTTAAAAAATAAATTTGTTTAGCCACAATAGAGACTGTGCGGCTAAAAACTTGCACAAAATCTAATGAAGATTCTATTTTCTCTTCAAAATCTTCTTTTTGTTTTATAATAGATGTTGATTTAAGACCTAAATATGACAAAGCCTTTGTCTTGTTAGATTTAGGAGCCTTAATTTTTTTTAGATAAAGAATCTATTAAAAGATATAATATACCTTTAATAAAGAAAAAAAAATTTGTTCATGTAGAAATCATAAATAGTCATCTATTATACTCTAGAGACATTATTCATGAAATTTTTCCTCTAAAAGTAGTAAATAATAGTAATAATAGCTTTGTAGTATTTAATATTATTAGATCTCCTTCTAATCCAATTATTTTAGGTTTATTATGGTTAAAAAAAATATAATCTTTGAATAGATCAAATTTTTTATAGTCTTGATTTTTTAAAAAATATAATTTTTTTTTATTAATCAAGTAAAAAGTCATAAATCTAGTACAATCAAACTTATATTTGTAGATGCAAGAGCTTTCTTGTATACTGCAAAAAAAAAGATCACCTAATGTCATTTATGCCACACTTATTTTTAATAGTAGAAAAACTTTAAATAATATTTCTAACTAATATTAAAATTTTCAAGATCTATTTAAGAAGAAGAATGCAAATATTCTTCCAAAACATTGTCTCTATGACTACTCAATTGGCCTTCAAGAAAGAATTCAACTACCATTTGGATCAATTTATAATTTATTACAAAATGAGTTAGCTGAATTCAAAGTGTATATTGAAGAGAATCTAGCCAAGAACTTCATATGCCATTCCAAATTTCTTATAGGAGCTCTAATTTTATTTGTAAAGAAAAAAGATGGATCATTGTGGATGTATAGCAATTATTAATGACTCAACAAGATCACCATTAAGAACAAGTTCCTGCTACCTTTGATATCTAAACTTCTTGATCAATTAAATCAAACTAAGATCTATATAAAAATAAATCTACAATAGGCATATAATTTGATACACATCAAAAAAAGAAATTAATAAAAGATTTTATTTTGAACCATGTACAGATATTTTGAATATAATGTTATGCCTTTTCGACTTACAAATGCACTAGTAGCTTTTCAACATGTAATAAATAATATCTTTCAAGAGTTTTTGAATGATTTTGTTGTTTATTATTTACATGGTATTTTACTCTATTCTAAAAACATAGAAAAGCATGAATTTTATATTTATTATGTATTACAAAAACTAAAAGATGCAAGACTCTATACTAAGATAAAAAAAAGTGTATATTTCATACTACTCAAGTTGAATTTTTAAAATACATTATTTCAAATAATGGACTTATGATGGAACCTAAGAAAGTTCAAATTACTATGGATTAGAAGATC